AGCAGAGTGCTTGATTCACGGAGTATGTGCATGTCGTAACAGGACACATTTAATCAGAAGCCCCCAGGGGTCAGGCAGACATTCGAAGAACTTTCTTAGAGTTCAGCATCTTACCCCAGAGAAGGAAGTTGGTATCTGGGGGCAGAATGTGGGAGGGGGAGAAAGAGATGAAACCTCAGCTGGCAGCGTTTTGAGAAATTACTCCGCAGAACGCGGTTTAGGTAGTTTTTATATATTTGGTATGTGTTCATCCTGGAAATGTCCTTTGCCTCGCTATTTAAGAATTAAGACTTGTAGCTCCTGTGAGGTCTTCTGGCCCCGCTCGCCACTCAGGATCCCTCTTACACAGAATTAATTCCTCATGGGTTGGGCATTTTGTTTTGCTTGGTTGCCTGTGCTGTTGGAGAGCTCATCACTTAATGGGGGAAGCCATTCCCTTTTTATATTCCTGAGGATGCTAAGTGTGTTCCTTACCTTACACTGTGGTCTGCTTCCCTAACCTCTGCTCATTGCTCATTGCTCTGAGGTCTGGGGTCTGAGACCACACAGAACAGATCTGCTCTCATGTGGTAAGTAGGTGTCTACACCTTTGAAAGTGACTGTGTACCTCCAGAACATTCTCCCAGGTAAACACTTCCAGTCTTCCAAGGAGCTCAGGAGTGGTGTCACGTGCCTTCACCTTCCCGACCGCTGTACTTGATGCCATTTCACGGAAGCAAAGCACGCAGCTGTGTTCTGCCTTTCCCGTGGCCTGTGCCCTGCCCTCCACGCACGTTGGCTAGGGCAGCGCAGCTTCTGACCACCTCCATCCTTGTTTTTTGGTTCTTGCTAAGCCTAAGACAGCAGTTTTCAACCTTTTTCATCTCATGGCACACACAAGCTAATTACTAAAATTCTGTGGCACACCAAAAAATATACTTTTGCCAATCTAACAAAAAAAAGTTTAATTTTGATTGATTTACAAAAAAATAGAATAGTAATTAGCTACCCTTTTTGCTTCAAAGTGACTTTTAAAAAAAATTAGGAACTCATGGTTGTACATAAGGATTTCTGGTACCAAGAATTAACCAATCAGATCCATCCTTATTACGTGACATGACAAATAAGATGCAAGTCTATTTACATTTATGGTTCAGGACAGGGCATTCACATGGAAGGCTATTGTTGTGTTGGCTGTTGTCACTTTTTAATTTGACAATCTAAGGGAAAAGAGGTCAGTGCCCCTCGCTGAATCGTCAGGCATTGCATGTTTTAAAACTTGTGGCACACGGGTTGAAAACCACTGGCCTAAGAGACTTCATGTTTCAGTTGAAACCTGTGAGTTTCATTTTCTTGGCTCTCGTATTTTGGAATTTTTTTGTTAGCCTGTTAGCCCTTGCAGCCACCATTCTGGCTTGGACATTTTGGAATGACCTCTCATTGTAGTTAGGAGCCCCGTCAGCGGAATCTCCGATCTCTTTTCAGTCTTCTGCCTGATCATGCCCCATCATGCCCGCCTGTGGAGACACACACTGAAGTCATTTCCCACAGGATGGACTCATCACTCGGTGCTTAGTGTGCCAGATGATGTCTTTCCCATGTGCCCGAGGTCTGTCTTTGCAGCCTGGCCCCTGCCACTTCCCTTTGCCCCACTCTTGAAAAGACAAAGGAGAACTCTTCCCCTCTGACAAGGAGAACTGCTCTGCCTGGGAATGCTCAGCAGTTTCCCCTGTGTCCTCTCCACTTAGCCAGTCTTTGATGTCTCCATCTTTTAGGTGCCAGTTCAAACTTATTTCAAAGAAGCCACCTCTAGCTCCCCTAGGCAGGTAGTGTCTTTGCTGCTTTGTGTATGCGGCCCCCTGCTTGTCTGTTTTGCTTTTAGGGTTTGTCCTTCCCACTGCGGGGTCAAAGAGCGCACATCTGTTTAATTAAGTGTCCCACCCGGAAGGTCTGAACTTGGCCCAGTGAGTGCAGTTGGCAATCCACTCCAGAGCTTCCAGTGCACAGCTGGGGTTGTGGTGCCTGAGAGCCCCCTGAATTGGTGAGGATTTTGTGTATAAATAAATTTTTTGGGACCCGGCCAGTGTGGCTGAGTGGTTTAGTCTCACCCTATGAATCAGTAGATCACAGTTTGATTCCCGGTCAGGGCACATGCCTGGGTTGTAGGCTTGATCCCCAGTGGGGGGCAGGAGGCAGCTGATCACTGATTCTCTCTCATCATTGATATTTCTATTTCTCCCTCTCCCTTTCTATAAAAATATATAATTTCCTGGGGATGCGTCCCCCCATATTCTGATATGCTATTTGCTTCCCTCAGATCGGCTCCCAAAATGAGCACCTGAGGTAGCTCACTGGTGTCACCAGGCTTGTGTTTCAGCCTCGCATTACCAATCCTGAGGACACGCAGTTATCTCTGTGTGTGTCAGTGTGCATTGGGTCGTCTTTGGAAGTCACATCTGCTGTCCACCACTGCATCACTGGCTCACTCAGCTTTCCTGGGAGCTTAGTACTGCTTGAATCTGGCACATGTTTTCCCATGGAAACCAAATTTCAAACCACCAGCTTTTGGAATGTGGCTAGTTGAGTGTGTGAATTGGTTGTGGTGGTGATTTTGCCTCCCAAGGAGCAGGGAAGGCTGTAACCCGGGCAGCACATGAATAATGCATTTGCTGGTCTCTGAAAGGGTGAATGCAGATAACTTGGCTTGAGCTTTGTGCGGGAACCGTGACAGTCTGTGTGTGAGTGGTTTGTGGAACCAGCTCTGGCTGAACAGCTAGTGATAGTAGCATTTCAGTCCTTTCCCTCCTTCTCCTGAAGGGAGAGCACCTGCTGACCTCCCTGTGTTGTGTACTGTGTGCGCGCACCTGTGTGTCTAGAATCCCCGTGCCCTCTCGGCGTGCAACCTGGGCGTGACTCCTGAGGCGGTAAATCTATTTTTTAGGTGGCTGTAGTTGTCTTCTCTGACAGTAGGAAACCACGGTGCTGTCTGCTGGAGTTTGCCCCTGTACAGTGGTCCCTCTCCATGTAGCTGAGGTAACCTGTTGTTTCCTAGTGAGGTTTTCCCATTTTCAGTTTCACAATCAAGGATACCTTAAGCCTCTTAAATATAGGAACTCTTAAGGTAGTTTATAAAATATTTTTTTGAAAATTATACATACATAACATAACATTGGGAGTTTAATAATTCAGCTAACTACCCTGCTTTGTTATTCTTTTCTGATTTTTGTATAATTCATGTAACATCATATTCTTGAATTTTTCTATTATACATTATCTTTATATTTAACAGCTACTTAATATTTTAATAAGAATGTCATTAGTTTTTCTATTTTTGTCTAAGTTGCATCTATGTTTTTTAGTATTGTAAATTAAACTGAATAATTATATTTATGCATATCATATTGTACCTATTGAATTGCATGTATACCTAGACGTGGATTACTTTTATTTTTTAAAATATATTTTTATTGATTTCAGAGAGGGAGAGGAGAGAGAAACATCAATGATGAGAGAGAATCATTGATCAGCTATCTCCTGCATGCCCCACACTGGGGATTGAGCCCGCACCTGGGCATATGCTCTTGACCGGAATCGAACCCAGGACCCTTCAGTCTACAGCCTATGCTCTATCCACTGAGCAAAACCAGCTAGGGCTAGAAGTGGATTACTTTAAAAAAAATTAGTTTTCATTGACAGTATTACAGATGTCCCCCATTTTTACATCCTTTGTCCCCCTGTACCCAGCAGAAGTGGATTACTTTTTGAAGAGGGACTTTTTTGTTTTTCTTCCCTGGGACAATTTAAAAAAAAATAATTCTTCATTGTTGAAAGTATTACATATGTTCCCTTTATTCCCCCATTGATCCCCTCCAGCCCCAGGCCCCCATTGATCCCCTCCAGCCCCAGGCCCTCGCCGCCCCATTGTCTGTGTCCATGGGTTATGCATACATGCACACCGGGTCCTTGGTTGATAACCTCTCTCTCCCCCCCCACCTTCAAAGAGGGTTATTTTTTCCTTTCTTGAAATATATTAGTATAGTAAGAAATACTAGGCCCTGACCAGGTGGTTCAGTTGGTTAAAGCATTGTCTTAATACACCAAGGTTGCAGGTTCGATCCCAGTCAGGGTACAGCCAGTGAATGCATAAATAAGTGGGACAACAAATCAGTGTTTCTCTTTCCCTTCCTCCCTCCTCCTCTCTCTCCTTCTCTGTCTCTCTCAAATCAATAAATGAAAACAAACAAAACCCGTTACATTGCTGTCAGTGTTATAAGAATGCAGAAATATGGCACCTTTAATCTGCATTTCTCTAGTGATGTTGAACCTCTGTTTCCTAATCCCATTTCTGTGCATGTGACTCCTGCCCAAGTCCTTTTCTCATTATTGCAGTAGAGGAAACGCCGTGCACCTGGCTCTGAGTGGACACGTTCACTTTGATATATGTGGTCTTGCTTTTTTGCCAGTAAACTTGTTTATGTGCAAAAGCAAAAACTCATGCAATTAGGTTTGTAAAGAGCTTTTTCTATTGGAACATTAAGAATCATTTTTCTGTGCAATAAGGATCTGAATCTTGGTGTTTTTCCCTATAGATTAAAAACAAACACTTTGGCTGATTTTCATTCTACAGAAGTTAAAAATCTGTATTTACATGTCTCGTGATTTCTTTCATTGCATCATGAAATGTTTATTTAAGGTTATAAAGACTAAAAGGTCTGATACTCCCTAGTTATGGCTTAAAAATAGTTTGAGAGGAAAAAAATGAACCAGATATATTAGTCCCTTCCAGCCTGTGACTTATATGACAGCACAACTCCTTGTCTGGGTGTGGGGCCTCTGGTTGGCATTTCGTGTAGCTGGGCGAGGGGCCAAGCTGGCGTCCAGCTAAATGCCAGGACTAGCTAACCCTTAATCCTGGGTTAGCCAGTGCGGTGGACCTGTGTGGGCAACGAGCCACCTCCTCACCATGGTTTTCCTTTTATTTATTTATTTATTTGCTTATTTTTTAATGGTTTTCCTTTCAGCTGCAGCCAGCCCTGTCCTGGGCCTGAAAGAATGCACCAGAGGCTCAGCAGTGTGGTGCCAGAACGTGAAGACGGCAGCCGACTGCGGGGCCGTGAAGCACTGCCTGCAGACCGTCTGGAACAAGCCGACAGTGGTGAGCGCCCTTAATGATGTGCTGCATCCCTTTGTGGTGTCTGTAACCACTGCCATTTGCAAAGCACTTTCTCTTGCCTCATTTTGTGTGCCTCTCACGGTGACCCTGCGAGGGAGGCAGGACCTGTAGGTGGGTGTACCATTGTCACAGAGGGAGTGGAGGCTGGAGAGGTTCAGATTTCCTTCCCCCCAGGTCACCCAGTCCCTTGGTGATGGAGGTGGACGAGGTCCTCCCATGCCCACGCTCTGTGTTCCTTGCTGCCCCCTAGGCCTCGGTGCAGGACCCACCTCATCACCCAGATAGGGACCAGCAGGTTCACAGCCCCCATTTCCAGAACTGGGCACACGAGGATGGCTTTCGTTCTTGGTCACTCACTCAGAATCGAGATGCTCATAAGCTTTTCAGACCTTTTTGATGTTTTCTTTCTCTGCCTGTCATAGCTTTCTGTTTGGGCCACTGGTTCAGACCCTAGAACTTTAGTAGATATTTAAGATTTTATTTCCAGCTATAATCAAACCACCTTTTTTCATCCAAAGGATGTTAAATATAGCATAGTCATGTGGGCTCTTAGCACACATGGGGGAATACTCTCAGATGACAAACCTCAAGTGTGTTCTTCACGTGACCCGAACCTTCAGGGAGGCACCAAGCTTTGCAGGTGCTCTTGGCTCTCTCTGGGATGTACCTTGTGGTGCAGGCCAGGTTTGACTGAGTGGAGTTCAAGTTCTAAAACTCGTCAGTGGCCCGTAGAACTCAGAGAAAAATATTTAACACCGCTCTTGACGAAATATTTTCTGAATTCACTGGAAAACTGCCCTCGTGGCCAGTTACTTTCAGATTTGGTCTCTAATTTGCTTCTGATCTTGTTTTTAATACTGCTTTCACTTTCCAAGTTTAATTGTGTCAGGCGAGGACTTTAGATCCTTCTCTCTTGATGGACAGTGTCGTGAACGATGCCTGGCCCCATGCACATGATTAGCCTGGCTAGGTCCAAAGGTTCCAGTTGGTTTCTCTGAATGCAGCTAAGTTCACAGGTATTCCCCAGTCTCACCCAGACATGTCAGTTCCTTCTTCCTGGGTTGAAAATACACTGAGTGGCCAGATTATTATGACCACCTGACGTTTGTAGGCAAATTAGCTATAATTTCGCGCTGACGTTGCTAGAGGGCCAGATCATTATAAACGTCTGAATGGCACAACATACCTAAGTATTGTTGCTGATCAAGTTCATCCTATCATGTTGATGGCGTATCCCAATGGAGATGGCTTCTTCCAACAAGACAATGCGCCATGCCACGGTGCTCGTATTGTGCAGGAGTGGTTTCAAGAACATGAGGGAGACTTTACCTTGCTTAGGTGGCCCCACAATCACCAGATCTCAATCCAATTGAGCATTTGTGGGATGAAGTTAAAAGAGCCATCAGGGAGCTGGTTCCACAACCATCCAATCTCACAGAACTGGACAGTGCTATTCATCAGGCATGGTGTCAGATTCCTTGCATCACCTTTCCACATCTCGAGGAGTCAATGCCAAGAAGAATCGCCACAGTATTAAAGGCAAAAGGTGGCCCAACGACGTACTGATGGGGTGGTCATAATAATCTGGCCACTCAGTGTAGTTGATATCAAATAGGGAGCTCCCCAGGAACTTTGAGAACCAGCCAGATTTCCCAGAGTCCTGGGCCATGCAGGCCCTGGGTGCCTAGGCTTGTCAGAAGACTTGTCCTGTCCCTAAGCTCTGGAGTGGTGACAGCTTCCATGCAAATGCAGCACTGACAAGGCAGACAAAGGCAGACGGAGTGCAGGTAGCAGCGCCAGGTGGGTGCGCAGACGCACAGTGTCTGGCTGGGGCTTGCTTCGCTGCCCGCCCCTGTAACTGGTGCTGGTACTGGCCCGTGACGCCGCTTTGCCTTCCCGAGTTTCTCTGGTTCCTGCTGCTCTGACTTTCACCTTTCTGCGCCTGTTGCCTCACAGAGCGGCTGTGAGCAGTGAGAGGAAATTTGGCTTGTACTGTGCGCACTGGGTAAGGTGCTGAGGCGTAGAGGGTGCGAGAAAAGGGTGTCTGCCTGGTAGAAGCAGTACTGTGGTCAGCCACACCTAATCCTTCCTCCCTGGCGTCCGAGTGCTTCCTGTTTAGGTTGGGAACCAGGCTGTGCCTGTGTCAGATGTGGCCACGGTCACGTCCCTGGGGTTTTCAGCTGTGTGTGGTGCGAGTTACGTCCTACAAATACAGATCTCTCCCTCGTGTTCTTTCCTCTCAGAAATCCCTTCCCTGTGACGTGTGCAAAGATGTCATCACCGCAGCTGACAACATGTTGAAAGAGAATGCCACTGAGGTAAATGCCACATGTGTGTGTGACTGAGTGGTGGGACCCTCAGTGTGTGACTGAGTTGTGGCCACGTGATCAGTTGCTTAAAAGCTGTGACTTGGGAGGAGATGGGGGTGGGGTGGGGTGTGTGTCTAACGAGGAAACAAGGAATGATCTGGGTCCAGGTAGGATATAATTTAGTCCTGTGGGCCACGTACTGCTTCTGTCCTAGTTCTTCCGCTTGCGGCGCCCACCCCACCCAATTTTTGAAAAATGTAAAAACCATCCTTAGCCACAGGCTGCACAAGGACAGGCCGTGGGCCCCAGCTTGCTCCCCGACCCCAGGTGTTCAGTGCCAAGTCCATTGGGATTCTGTGGCACATGTGTTAACCTTCGGGTCCCTCTGGCTGTCTCTGCTCCCTGTGCCTATGAGACTGCTGTCGGAGGATTGCCCCATTGATGTGACGAGCCACGGCTCCCACTCGCCGCCTCCCAGGTCCCCTTCCCTGAGGGTGGCTGCTTTCAGTCGTCACTCTTCTGGGAGCTGTGAGGGCCTCTTGCTCTCAGCCCGTCTGTAGAAAAGTGCACACTGACCTGCCCCTTGCCCGTGTTCTCTAGCAAGAGATCCTCGTGTACTTGGAGAAGACCTGCGACTGGCTTCCTAAGCCGGACATGTCGGCCTCATGCAAGGAGATGGTGGACACCTACCTCCCAGTCATCCTGGACATGATTAAAGGACAGATGGTATGTGCTGGGGAATAGTTCTTCCTTCAAGGCAGTGCTGGGGCCCAGGGAAGTGCCAGACCAGGAGAGAGGGATTAAAAGGGCAATCCATTCATACCTGTGGGCTTTCTCAGCCTCTTGACTACAGTTCTAACATCCAGAATGCCTCTGGCACGGCAGAACACTCTGCCTGTAACTTTCAGGGTTGGGTAGGGCACAGAAATGGGGACTTACAGGATTAATGAAGGGGCTAAACTGGCATACATTTGTAGGTGCTGATTTATAACTCCTGTGGGATCTTTTGAGCAAGCAATTCATTTCATTTGTGTGATTTTTATCCTAAGGATTAAGTCAGGGAATTTACTTGTGGGTTCAGCCACAAGGAAGCTCAGTGTTCATTCAATAAGTACCTGCTGTGTGTGAACCATGTGCCAGAGGTGGTGTTTTCAGCGATGAGCAAGGAATTTGGAAAGACCCTAACAAAGAGGAGGGGCTTAAAAAACTGAGAGGCCACTGTGGGACCACGTGCAGCAGGAAGTCCCTGGGTTTCAGGAGGGGGTGCCATGGTTATAGGTACCTTTTTGAGGCAGTTTGGTCTAGATCCCACCCATTGGAGCTGAAAGAGGGGAAGCTGGCAGAACATCAGGCGTCAGATGTGCTGGGGGCAGTGCAGGTGGACAGATGCATATTATTTAGAGGGTGAATGGACTAGACTTGTTTTTGGAGGGGATGTCTTCCAGGTTTCTGGCTTGAACTGCAGGGAGAAAGGTGCTTAGGCCATTGCTGAAATAGAGGTGGAGGGGGAGGGGTTGGCGGTTGAGTCTGAGATGCCTGTGAACTGGGTGTGCATGCGGGAGGCCAGCTAAGAGAAGGAAGGGGGACTCTCTCCTTTTCCTCTGGGGAGAGGGTTTCCAGCTGGACTTCTTTCCCCACCAGAGCCAGCCCGAGGAGGTGTGCTCCGCGCTCAGTCTCTGCGAGTCTCTTCAGAAGCACCTGGCAGAGCTCAATCGCCAGAAGCAGCTCGAGTCCAATAAGATCCCAGAACTGGACATGGCGGAGATGGTGGCGCCCTTCATGGCCAACATCCCCCTCCTCCTCTACCCTCAGGGCGGCCCCCGCAGAGAGCCCCAGCCGAAGGTAAGGCAGCGCTCCCTCGGGGCTCCCTTCGGGTTGGATTGGAGTGTGTGCTGCTTGAACTAGGGGCTCTGGCAGCAGTCAGCCTGGAAATGGTTGTGCCATGCAGTTGCTGAAGAACCTGGGTATTTACATTAAGCTAAATTAAAAAAATGGGGTTTTTAAACATGCAAACATTTCCCCCCTTCCTATTAAATTTTACTAAAATCAGTGCCCATTTGATTTTAAAACTGTCAACAATTTTAGCGCCTGTGAAAACACATCATTCACTGCTCAGGGAGTCACACCCAGTGCTGAGGGGGCGAGCGCGGGAGGCACTTTTCCTAGGAATTTGAATCCCCTTAGTGACTACAGGAGCGCACAGTGTTGACAGCCTCCCCTCCCCGTCTCTGTAGGCTGGTGGGGATGTTTGCCAGGACTGCGTCCAGATGGTGACCGACATCCAGAATTCCGTGAGGACCAACTCCACCTTTGTGCAGGCCTTGGTGGAACATACCCGGGAGAAGTGTGACCTCTTGGGGCCTGGCATGGCCGACATGGTGAGCCTTGTCTCTTTGTGGGCTCTGGGGACGGGAGGGGGCAGACCCCATGAACTTCACTTCCTGGGGCACCATGTATAAAGTTCATCCTAGGAGCTCTGAGGACAAGATGTTCAGACAAGTCCCATTTCCTTTAACTAGAAAACAGCTGGAACAGGTGGTAGGCACTTACATACTGGTTGGGTATTTACCTTTGTATATGTAACAGAATTCGTGGGACAGTCTAGGGCAGCGGTTCTCAACCTGTGGTCGCGACCCCTTTGGCGGTTGAACGACCCTTTCACAGGGGCCGCCTAAGACCATCCTGCATATCAGATATTTACATTACGATTCATAACAGCAGCAACATTACAGTTAGGAAGTAGCAACGAAAATAATTTTATGGTTGGGTCACAACATAAGGAACTGTATCTAAAGGGCCAGAAGGTTGAGAACCTCTGGTCTAGGGGAAGGAGACTACTTTGGTGAAGATTTCTTTTTCTCCCAGAATCGTGTATGTAAGAAAACACTGGAACCACTTACAGCCCTGTTTCTGACAGCCTGGCTGTGTGCTCCCTGCAGCCAGTAGGATGCCATCCGTGGGAGGCCCCCCGTCTGGCTTGTAGGAGGTTCACCGGGTGCCTTCCTTACCTGTGAACGTTAGCCCTGTGAGCTCAGAAACTCATTAGCCCCTTAGGGGGCTTTATTTCTTGGACCTTGTTCACATTAACCACACTCAAGAGATTGGTGTGTAAAACCAAAATGCCAGGTTACTACCTGGCAAGCAAAAAGCCTCTGCTGGACCCGATGCAGGGGCTGGTTGTCATGACAATGTGGGTCTGGGTCCAGGGCAGCCTTTCTGGATGGCCGTGGCTGGCTCTGGAGGTGAGGCTCCTCCCTGATGACTTGCTCTCTTGTAAGCCTGGGAGTCGTAGCCTCATTGCAGTATCTTTGCATATGGGTTTCTCAGTATGGAGGGCTGTCATATCGCTCGCTTCTCTCCCTGTGGAGGCTCTCCAGTTAGAACCTATTCTCCGAGAGCTATTCTCTGAGGCCTCGATGTGTATAAAAATAGGCAAGTTGAAAATCATCATAACTTGATTCTGCTGGATTTCAACTTTATAATTCTGTCCAAGAACATGTGGAAGGATTTGAAAAGTAATCTCTGGTTCCCAGCACTCAGAAGTTGCTACTCTGTGATTTTGGGGCAAGTTTGGGGCAAAAAGGAGACTGGAGGACCTTCTCTCCAAGGGCCTTTTTCAAAGTACCTTTCGCACACCTTGTCCTGTTAGGTAGAGAAGAACCACGTTGCCACTTTCATCTTAATAAAACTTTCCCAGAGCAGACATTTACAAGACTCCATTTTGGGGTTGGAAATGCTGATTTTTGGTGTGTTGTCGTGGTAATTTCACTAACAGTGTGTTTCTCTGTCCCCAGTGCAAGAACTATGTCGACCAGTACTCTGACATTGTTATCCAGATGATGATGCACATGGTAGGTGGCAGGGGACGTTCCTCCTTAGCATTTTTCTTTATCTCAAACTTTGTGATTTCCAGTGATTTTGAAAAGTGTATAGTGTAGTTTCCTTTGTTTACCTCTGAGTACTAAGTTGGGCTAAAATGAGCCCTTGGTGGCTAGCTGACTCTCCACCTGCACCTCACTACCTCCCTTTTACCTTTCCTGGCTTGACCACCCGCACCACTGCCCTGGGGCCTTCCTCACCTTGTGAATGTTCATGTGCTGTGCCTGTGTGAGCTGCCCATCGGATTTCTAGCATTTGGCTTTCACCCTTGGCCTCCTGGGCATGGTCTGCTCTGTAGCTAGGCCAGGCCTGAGAACTGCTGTGTTGCAGCCTCTTAGAGCTGGTCCCACACTCTGCAGCAGTGTTAGCTCTCACACTTGCCTCTGGTGTATCCAGGAGGTAGGGGCATCCCTTCATGATTAGAGATCGGAAGTATCGTCAGCTAGCCAGCTTCATGCAGAAAACTGGCACGGAGCAGGGTGGTCTGAAGCATCATTCCTTTGGGAACATGCTCTGGCCTCCTGAGACCTAACCTGGAGGGATGGAGGGGTGGGTCGCACTTTTTCCTTTCTGTCATGCTTGTTTCTGATTAGTTGAGATTGGCCTGTAGTTCTTTTTTTTTTTTTTTTTTAATACGTTATTGATTTTTTACAGAGAGGAAGGGAGAGGGATAGAGTCAGAAACATTGATGAGAGAGAAACATCGATCAGCCGCCTCCTGCACACTCCCCACTGGGTATGTGCCCTCAACCAAGGCACATGCCCACGACCGGAATTGAACCTGGGACCCTTGAGTCCGCAGGCCGATGCTCTATCCACTGAGCCAAACCGGTTAGAGCTGGCCTGTAGTTCTTGAGTTTATTCTCTAACTAGGGGCTGTTCGGTAGTTTTACTGGAACGTAGCAATGCCCATTTTGTGCTACAGCAGCAGAGTTGAGTAGTTGAGACCTTAATGCCCACAAAACCGAAAAGATTTACTCTCTGATCCTGTTCCTAACCACTCAGTCTCCATCCAGTCACAATAGAGGTTATTTGGGATTATTCCTCATACCACACCTTGTTCTGCTGCAGCTTACGAAGACAGCAGCGAGAGTAGGAAAATGTAAGCCTTTGGTGTGACTTGATTTGATTAGTGCTTCCTCAGAGCTAACTAAAAACTGTTTCTCATTGTAAAGATTATACTGCATATACATTCTTTGAAAATATGGATAGTACTTCCCAAATTGAAAATCATTTGAGCCCTAGCTGGTTTGGCTCAGCGGATAGAGCGTTGGCCTGTGGACTCAAGGGTCCCAGGTTTGATTCCGGCCAAGGGCATGTACCTGGGTTGCGGGCACATCCCCATGGGGGCCGTGCTAGAGGCAGCTGAATCGATGTTTCTCTCTCATCGATGTTTCTAACTCGCTATCCCTCTCCCTTTCCCTTCCTCTCTGTAAAAAAAAAATCAATAAAATATATTTTTTAAAAAAAGAAAGAAAATCATTTGAGGTTTAAGAAAACATCAGTGGGGTCATATTTTATATTCCACAAATTTTGTAGTTTGCATTTTTAATCTAAAATTATATTGGTCATTAAATATTTTGTACAAATGATTTTTAAGTGGCTGCATAACATTTCACTGTGCAACTAAAGGTAATTTATGTACCCAGTCCCCTGTGGCTGGGGGTTTGGGTTGTTTGCAGGTTTGCCCTGGGGATAAAAGGCATGATAAGCAGCCAAAGCCCTGCTTTTCCGAGTTTAGGTCATTAAAACTGACACTGCTCACTCAGAGTGCCAGGCTGTTGATAGAGTGTCAGACCAGCCTCCCAGTCTGGCCTTTGGCCACCGGGGGTAGGTTGCTGGGAGACCTGGGCCGTGGAGAGCGTGGCTTGAGTCCCTAACCCCTCCAGGTGTATTTGGGCGGCCCTGTGTCTTGTTCCATTTTGCTGCTCATCACCAGCCTGAGGGGAGGGCCCTGCTTCTGGGGATGAGAGCTCTTCATATGTGGCATTTTCTGGGGACCTGCTGCCTGGTGTTATGAACATGATTTGTTGTGTCGGGGACATGGGGATGGTGCACACACAGCTGGAGGTGTGCTCCGTCCAGTAAGGAGGGCCAGAGTAGTTGGTAGGGCCCAGTGTGCACTCAGTAGTAGGAACAAGGTAGGTGGCTGACTTGTGACTGAAGGATGATTCCCCTAAACTTCTGGTGATATCCTAAACCTCATGAACTGCCTGATCATTGTTTTAATTTTTCTTAACTGTTGTGTCCTTTCCTTTCTCTTATTTTATCTCCGATTTCCTGTTTTTTTATTCAACAGCAGGATCAGGTATGTGATGGGGATTTGCTTGGAGTAGTGGTCGGCTGCTGCTTGTAGCTCTTTTGCTCATCTTTTTTGTATGCATGATCCCCTCTGGCAGAGCCAAGGAAGACTGGAAGGCAGGGTCCCTCTCTGGGTGTGTAGGCTGGCAGGGAGCTTCTGCATCTCTTCCCTGGAGCTCAGCACTTGAGGTGGCGGGGGTTCCATCTCACCTTCAGAGGGCCAGGAAATGAAGCCAGCAGAGCCACGCACCCTGTGCCAAGTCAGTGCCCAATGGGCCGGATGCCAGGCCACCAGTGTGATGATGGGGAACCATGGGTGGTCCCCAAGATGCTGCAGCTTCCTGCACTGGAGGCCGGGCTTCGGTGGGGCCTGTTTCTGTCATGGCTTGAGAGCACAGCATGTCCTATTCCTGTTTTCCATGCCCCGGAAATGCTGCCCTTGCATGAACACATCAGCTGCAGATAGTGAGCAGGCTGCTCCCCGTCTGCTGGGCCCAGAGCATGGAGACAGTCTCTTGGTTGCGGCTTCTGCCCGTCTGGGTGATTAGGTCCTGCAGATCCAGGAGCCACAGCAGACGGCCTGTGAGCTATGCCGCGTGGCATAAAGTGGGGGGCGCTGAGCCGCAGACCAGACTTAACGGAGCCAGGTGCCCTTTGGGGGCTGTACTGAGCATTGCCTCCTTTTGAGCACTGGAACTGAAATTTTTCAAAGGTTTTTTGAAGTCTAGTGGGAGATTTGGCTGAAATATCTGAATTTTCACATAGGCTGCCTCATGGAACAAAGCTGATCTGAGACAAAGCAGCCCGCCTGAATCTTTGTTTTTTTTTCTCTTTTAAAAAATACATATTTTTATTGATTTCAGAGAAGGGAGGTGGAGAGAGAGACAGACACATCAATGATGAGAATCATTGATCAGCTGCCTCCTGCACGTCTCGCACTGGAGATGGAGCCTGCAACCCAGACATGTGCCCTGACCAGGAATCGAACTGTGACCTCCTGGTTCATAGGTCGACGCTCAACCCCTGAGCCACACCAGCTGGGCTTTTTGTCTTTTTTTTCTAAAAAGTTTGCTCTATCTTTGGCCACATTCTGTTTTTTCCTCCTATTTATTAAAATATATTACTGATTTCAGAGAGGAAGGGAGAGAGGGAGAGAAAATATGAATCATTGATTGGCTGCCTCCTGCACGCCCCACACGGGATGGAGCCCGCAACCTGGGCATGTGCCCTGACTGGGAATTGAACCGTGACCTCCTGGTTCAAAGGTCGACATTCACCAATGAGCCACGCTGGCCGGGCTTTCCCCCATTCTTAAAGTGTGCCACAGACAGGATACTTCAAATATACTTTCAAACTCCCCCACCCTTAATTTATTCTGGAGCCTTCTTGGTATTTAAACAAGATGAACCCTAGCCATGATCTAGCTCTCTTCGCTTCCCAGGTCTCACTTTCAGCAAACCTGGTCTGCTGGTTTGGTGGTGGGAGGCAAATGCCACCAGGCCCAGAGCTAGTCACTGGTGGCATGTGGTTTACAAAGTATACAGACTACGTATACTTTCCTTGCTCTTGGCCATCGTACGGTGAAATGGTCAAGATGTCCAAACTGTCTAATTCTCTGTGGCTTGGTGTCTGGTTGGGAAAAGGGATCAATCTGGTGACTTGAAGGATTCATTCATTTGGGGGACTGGGTTTTCGTTGAACTGTGTTTGTGTAATTGTGAACATAGGATGTGGTTTTTTGAAAAGCTAACATTTCCCCTTAATGCGTCATTGCAAATGGTCCTGCATTGAATGCCCCGGTGTGGCTTTATTTCTAACACATTTGGCTTTCTGTTAGTTTATGAGCATTATAGTTCCTCCTCCAGAAAGAACATGGAGCTTACTTCCCACTGAGCTCAACGGAACAGCAGGCTCTAGAGCAGACCAGTGTCCTTGGGGATGACTGGCCACCCGTTAACCTCAGGGTGGGAGTCTTGCTTCCCTGGTGCAGCAGGGACGGCGGTCTGTCTGACCTCCCCGAGAGCTTTGTGTGGCCCCTCCTCTATGGGAAACGGGTCCATCTGCATTTGCACGAGCTCCTTTGGATTTAATATGGAATTTTTACAGTATCAGTCCTTGACACTGGGACCAGGGTGCTCCTTTGGCACCCTGACCTTTGAGCATAGAGCGTGGGACTCGGGCAGTGGGTGCAGGCCTGTGTCTGACTGCCTTTTCTGTGCTCTCTCCAGCAACCCAAGGACATTTGTGCAATGGTCGGGTTCTGTGAGCAGGAGGTGCCCATGCAGCCGCTGGTCCCTGCCAAAGTGGTCTCCGAGGACGTCATCCCTGCTCTGGAACTGGTGGAGCCCATTAAGGTACCTGTGTCATCATTTTGTACCGGCCAACGCCGTGTTGAGTACATTTATTGCCTTGGTTATCAACCCTAGTGCTCATGGGATCGAGTCTACATTTTAGCACGTCATTCAGATCATTTTTCAGTGCCTGGCTCCAACCTGACCTCTTCGGATATGCTCTCTGTGGCCTCCCCCCATGGTAGCCCTAGTACAGACTTGCTATTCCCAGCCCCCAAAGCCTCTCTGGGTGCTCTCTGCACACACGGGCATCTGTTCTGTTTCACTTGGTGACGAGCCTCCTTTTTTCCATAATCCAGCCGTGGGCAAACTACGGGCCTCGGCCCGATCCGGCCCGTTTGAAATGAATCAAACTAAAAAAAAAAAAAGACCGTACCCTTTTATGCAATGATGTTTACTTTGAATTTATATTAGTTCACACAAACACTCCATCCATGCTTTTGTTCCGGCCCTCCGGTCCAATTTAAGAACCCATTGTGGCCCTCGAGTCAAAAAGTTTGCCCACCCCTGGCATAATCAGTTTATATTCAGCACTTCTTATGGGTCAGGGAGTGTTTGAGGGACGGAGGCCTAGAACAGCCCACCTACAGTGATGAACAAAACTGTCCTTGTGTTCATGGGGCCTGCAGCCTAGTTCTTAACCAGTTAACTGCCACGCGTCCAAACGGAAACCATCCCCACACACCACGGTATTTTGAATTTAATTAAAAAAAATCAGTTTGCATGAATATTATAAAAGTAAATATATTACAGTTCGGGTGTTCTTGAATATTTTCAGCTGAAAATTCTCACGAAAAATGATGTTAAAGTTGGTCAGGGCTGCCACTCAGGGAAAACATTTTTTGTACAGACGGACGTGGCCTGTGGGGAAGGTCTGCCGCTTGGGGGCCCAGCCATGTACCTTACCGCGTGGCACACGCACGCACTTCTTGTTCCAGACCTTCCCGCGTCACTCTCCTTTGGCTGTGTTGCCTCCCTCTCCGGTCCTCCCTCGGCAGGTGCAGCGTGTGGCCCACAGGAAGGGTTAGGGCAGTGGTTCTCAACCTTCCGGCCCTTTAGATACAGGTCCTCATGTCGTGACCCAACCATAACATTATTTTCGTTGCTACTTCATAACTGTAATGCTGCTACTGTTATGAATCGTCATGTCAATATCTGATATGCAGGATGGTCTTAGGTGACCCCTGTGAACGGGTCGTTCTACCGTCAAAGGGGTCGAGACCCACAGGTTGAGAACCGCTGGGTTAAGGTGTCAGGTAGAGTCAGGGAAACACTGCTGCCTGCCCCTCGTCCCCCGTCGAGATGCTCATAGGCCTTTGCCCACCTGGATGACAGAATTAATGGCCTGTAATCTAGTCACATGACTTAAACAAAATTAAAATTAAAAAAAATTCAGGCTTTGCCTGGTGAAGCTCCGTTGGTTAAGTGTTGTCCGTGCACCAAAGGGTTGCAGGTCTGATTCCTGGTCAGGGCACATACCCTGGTTGCAAGTTCGATCCCCAGTTGGGGCATGTGTGGGAGGCAGTGGATCAGTGTTTCCCCGTTCCCTCCCCCCCCTCCCTCTAAGCATGTTCCTGCATAAGGATTTTCAAAAAATCTTTATTGTTGGGGTAAGGATTTAAAAAGAAAATCCCGGTGCTCAGTAGAGAGTGGCTGGTGACGGCTGTATTTGACAGCAGGGACGGGGAATGTTCCCGTTGTCACAGAAAGTCCTGGTCAGCAGTGTTGCTTCTTCATTCAAGGCAGGCTCTTGAAAAGCAGTTTCAGGCGTTAATGAGACTTGAAACTCAAGAGCAGACCTGCAATGGCTTTTAAATAGTCCTTGCTTTGTTCTTGGCCCCCACCCACTCCCCAGGACGAACGCTGACTGATGAAATAATTGTAACCAAACACAGCATCACATGGACAGCTCTTTGGGGTGGGTGATAGTTCAGTGCTTTCACTGAAGTATGGATTCCTGAACATTTTAACTGAAGTGTAAATTCCTGGTTGGGGTGGGGGAGTGGCGGGAGGAGGTGGTGGTGAAGGATTTGGCGAAAGGGATGGGACTCCTGCCTCATAGAAACAAGAGGGACTGGAACTGAGACCTTGGGAGGAAGCACTTCCTTGGATTTAGTAGGAAGGGGGCCTTTGCGATGTTAACCTGTCCTTGCCTCTGAGTCCCTTCTCCTTCAGAGGAACATGCTCCAGGACCAAGGGCTGAGGTGAGGGTCCCAGCATTCACATGTTCTCTGACCCTCCACAGAAGGGCCTGGTGCAGGCGAAGGATGATGTTTTCTGCGAGATGTGTGAATATGTGGTGAAGGAGGTGGTCAAGATGATCGACAGCAACAAGACTGAGGTACGTGGGTTTCTGGAATGCTGCCCTCCTGGCAGCGGGAGGCGCTCTCCTGGGTTCCTGGAGCTGGAATGGCCCAGTGGGAGAGCCCAGCAGAATAGGTGGGCTTGGTCCTTGCTGGTCTGGGCACCAGCCTGGGAATCTGTCACCACCTCCCACCGTGGATCCCTCTGGGCTGCGGCTGGAGGAGGCCACTTTGCCCTGCTTGTAGCTCTTGTCTTTTGCAGGAGGAAACAGCATCTTGCTGTTGACTGGTTTCCTAGTCATGTTAGTATTTTCAGAATCTCTCCCACCCCTACCCAGCCTCCCATCTTCCCACGTGATCCTCTTGTGTTTCAGGAAGAAATAATTCACGCTTTCGATAAAGTGTGCTCAAAATTGCCCAAATCCTTGTCGGAAGAGTGCCAAGAGGTGGTGGACACTTACGGCCGCTCCATCCTGTCGATCCTCCTGCAGGAGGCGAGCCCTGAGCTGGTGTGCAGCATGCTCCAGCTCTGCACCAAGCAGAGGCTGCCTGCACTGACCGGTGAGCCCAGTGGGAGTGAGGCTGGCCGGCCCCTTGGGAGTTTGGGGGGGCCCTGCTGGCACTGAGCCTGTGCTCTCTCGCATAGCACACGTGACTCAGCAGAATGACGGTGCCTTCTGTGAGGTATGCAAAAAGCTGGTTGGCTATTTGGACAACAACCTGGAGAAAAACAGCACGAAGGAGGAGATCCTGGCTGCTCTTGAGAAAGGCTGCAGCTTCCTGCCCGACCCATACAAGAACCAGGTATGCCCTGGCTGCTCCGCCGAGTCCGACCTGCCTGGGCATGCAGAGGCTGGGCTGTTCCCTGATTGTGCCCTTGACTGAAGTTTTGAAGCCATTTCTGCCTGGATGCATGGAGCCCAGTGACCTTTCCTCAGAGGCAATCTATTGGCTCAAATGGAGCCACTGGGGGAAAATACCACAAACAAATGAGGCCGAGTGTGGGTGGGGCTCTGGGGAGGAGGCCCTGGGGCCACTGGGCTGGAAATCTTGGGGAAGAGCATGTCCAGCTCCCACTCTTCTGGGCACACCTTGACCTGGACCCGTGTCCCTGCTTGCTTCTCAGTGTGATCAGTTTGTGACCGAGTACGAGCCCATGCTGATAGAAATCCTGGTGGAGGTGATGGAGCCGTCCTACGTGTGCTCGGTGAGCTCTGAGCGCGGGTTCGTGGGCACGCAACCTGGGGTGTTGTGTGGACCCTGGAAGGGCTCCTCGGAGGGTGTGGGCCATGGGCCAGAGGCTCTGGGATGGGGCGTGAGAAAGCCAAGTAGAGAACCAGGCTCTAGGCCCACCACTTGGGAACCCTGATGTTTTTTTGAAAGTGCACATCGGAGCTCTGGTTCTCGCTGCTTCTAGAAGCAGATGGTTTCAGGTCCGTAAAGGATTCGTTAGATCTAATTCTTCCCCTTCTGTGCTCCCTTTTCAACATATAGAAAGTTGGAGCCTGCCCCAAAGCCCCTAAGCCTCTCTTGGGAACGGAGAAGTGTGTGTGGGGCCCGAGCTACTGGTGCCAGAGCACGGAGACAGCGGCCTTGTGCAACGTGAGTAGCTCAGCCCCTGCTCCACAGGCCTGCCTTGCCGGAGAACCTCGGGCCATTCTCTGCCCTGTGTTAGTGAGGACCCTGAGGCCACGGGAGGCGATCAGGCTTACTCCCGGCTTCCCAGTCAAGGCAGGGCTGGCTGTGTTCTTGTCTCAAGAGTGAAGGGGAAGCTGTTCTTTAACTGATTTTGTTTCGTTCTCTTGCTTTCGCCTCCAGTTCCCCATGAGAGGGTCAGATTTGCACGAGGTCCCCCCCCACCCCCCAGGGGTTGCACAAGGCCTATTGGGTTCATTGTCCCAACCCTTGCATAAGTCCTCATGCCCCTCGGGGGTCACTTTTGCCCTGGTTGGAGCCTGGCCTGAATCTTCACCCAAGGCCGAGCAGAGCTGTTTAGAAAGGCCCTGAGAGTTGGCACCTGCCTGACAGCTGCAGGGAGCTGTGGCACCAATCCTGGCTGGGTAGCCACCAGTTGGGTGACCTACGCTCGCTGTTCCTGGGTGGGGACGTTTGGACCAGCCTCTGTTACTTAATGTTCTTTTGTGCAAGTTTTTCTTCCTCGTGCGAGTTCCTCCAGTTGGGGGAGGTTGCATCATTGGGGCCACTGCAAGGAGGGGTGGTGAGGCCCATCATGGCGGAACAGGTTTCCGCTGCTGCCCTGGGCCCATTTCTCAAGGCCTGAGCTGGTGTGAATCTCTGACTCTCAGGAGTTCTGCCTTGGGGGCCTCCAGTGCAGCCCGTCAGCTGATGCTGGGGCCTCGGCGTGTGGCTGGACGCAGGGGTCCTGGGCCCTACCTGCCCGGGTGCTCATGTGCAAGCACGTGCTCCCGGGTTTTAAGTGAGCTGCTGTCCTGGGCCCTCCGTGTCTGGTGCCATCCACCTGACCTAGGACAAGACAAACAGGCTCCGTTTTGGGGGGATGTCTGATGCATGAGTGGGCCAGGAGTGGAGTTGTCATCTGATTAACCCAGTGTCCTCTCTCCTGTCAGGCCATCGAGCATTGCAAACGTCACGTGTGGAACTAGAAAGAATGTTCCAGCTTGGAGAAACCACAGCATCTGTTCCTAATTGTATGTCTGGGGGAATGAACACAGATCTTTCGACTTTGTTATAAAAATAGGCCCCCCCTTTCCCTCACGCTGTTTCTTCTCTCCCTTATTGTAACATTGCAGTCAACGCGGGAGGTGCCTAGCCCGCCGCTGACATAGTGCTTCAGTGTCCTTTTCATTCTGCCACATGGATAATGACGCCCTGCACCCTGGAGGCCGCTGAGCCTGCCCTTGCATGTGGTTACCTGGAGGAGGAAGGGGGCTCGCTGCTGGCAGCAGCCAGAAGCTTCTTCACAGAGGCCATCCGTCCTCTCGGCCGGGGCTTTGCTGAGCCCTGACCGGGGCTTGGGCGCTGGTGGGCTGGCTTCTGTAGCCTCTGCCTACACTAAGGACACCTCCCCGGGCTTCTGGGTTGCTAGACAAAAAAGTGAAACAAAGGCTTTATATATAAGATTAGAGGCTCACAGTAATGAGGCTTTGTACTCAGTGTGGTTTGCACTGAAATTGAGGTTTTGGAAGCGGCTGCTCAGGACACCTGGGTGAGGTTTGGGTTTGCTGACCCTGGGTCAGCCTTTGCTCCAGCTTTCCCGTGTCTTTCCCGGTGATGTCTTGTTTGGTCCTGTGGGTTTGGGTGGGAGGGGAAAATCTGCTTGAATGCAGCCTGCGTAGCTCAGTGTGGGGGTCCTGTGCCCCTGGCTTTTGTGAGTGGACACGTGGACCGTGGTGACCACCTCATGCCTGCTCTGTGCCTCTGGGCAGCACAGCCCCTTTGACCCGTTTTGTGGATATTGCTTTTGACCTTGAAATAAGTGGATGACAAGCACCTAAGCCTCTGGCTTCCAGGCAGCGGGCCCGTTGGGCGTGCTGTTCAGGACCTTGGCTGCTGCCCTGCCTTCTCCCCCGTGGCTGACTCTTCTGCTGCACTTCCGGTTGTCAGGGGACAGTAAGACCTGCAGTTGCCATTAAACGGATTTAATGATTTTTTTGTTTTGCACTAAAGTTTCTGTGATTTAACAATAAAGTCTGTCAATCAGATCTGATATTCTGTGATACCTCAGCCAGAAGTTGGGTTTCTGATGAGCTCTCCAAGGCCGTGGCACCTCTTGGTCAGAGAAAGGAAGCACAGTGGGTCAGTCCCACCTGTCTGCCCTGAGATGCCCCGGCTGGGGCGCCCAGGCCGCCGTGCCCGTCACCCCTCTCCCTCACCTCCCCGGCCAGCCACGCCGTTGTTCACCAGAGCGAGTGCCAGTTCCTGTGAGTTGCTTTTCTTTTTAAAATTCAGACCATTCCAGAAACGTTCAGTGAGTACCAGTGAAACAAACCAAGGGGAACATATTGAGGGAATAACTTAGTTTAAAAAGGAATACACACGAACACTCTACATTCAAAACCAAGGGAACATCAGTCATTTCTCCTTTTGAGCCGGTACATTTGGGAAGCCAGTGACACGGAGAGCACGTGGTTCATGGATGATAACCTCGCCCAGGTGGGAGGCAGGGGTCACGCAGTGCCCCCCCTCGTGTCCGGTCGGACATGGCAGAAACGCGTGAGACTTGAACGCAAGTCTGAGTCAAGGCCAGGCTGGGCTGGGAGGGGTGGAGAGGGGAAGGGGGTCTGCTTGGCCTCTTTCAGTTCAGCCGGGGCTGAGTTGGTCCTTACTCCTGTCCCCCAGGGATGCTCCTTACCTTGTCCTTAGACACTTAACATTCTTGTTTGGTTTTCTTAAAAAAATAACAGATTTTATGAAGGTAGAGATCAGATGCTGAATGAGTGCCTGGCCGCAGTGGGATCTGAGCTGCAGAGAGCAGGCTGCTACCGCTTGACCAAGCCACGGTCATGAGCCAGGGTCGGCCTGGAGGGGTCCGCACCCCACGGTCCTGGCGCTGCTCACACCAGTGAGGCTCCCCCATCTAGTCATAGCTCCGTGATCTCCAGGGGGCTCTCCATGATCACATCTCGAAGCTTGTGCAGGGGCGTGGATTTGGCGGACTCCGTGCGGGCGTTGCGCTCGAAGGCACTGGCCTCGGCCGCCGTCAGCGTCTCCAGTGAGCGGCCCAGACCCTTCTGGTCGTCCTCAGGCAGGCTGTTGAGGTCAGTGGCCAGGAGTGTGCCCGTGCTGCCATGCACCATGTGGATCCCGTCGGGCCCCTTGAGCTCCGGAGGCGGCTTGCAGAAGCGCAGGCTGCCCTGGCCCGGGCTGCGCTCCCCTGGCTCCTCCAGCTCCGTCTGGATCAACTGCAAGAGTCCAGGAGCCCCCACATGCTCAGGGCTGTGCCCAGGGGGTGAGCAGGCGGGTGGCCCCAGCGTCCTACTGCTATGTGCCTGTTTCCTCCCCATTGCGCACAGGGACCCTGGGCTGGCGCTGCAGCGGCCTGTGTGGCCGCTAACAGCCTGTCTCCAGCTGGTACGGGGGGAACCATGGAACTTACAGTGCTGTGCTTTTGGGAGCATGGGCTTCCTGTGAGTTGAATTTTGTGTATTCACTTTTATTTGCAAAATTCCTGTGTTGCAACTGCAGTATCTGGGTTTGTTACCAAGTTGGCCTCAAGCAAGGTCAACAGTAGTGGCCAGGTCGAAGTGCCCACAGGTGAAGCTGGAGGGGACCAAGGTGTACTGGGCACCCAGATGGAGCTTTTGTTCCGTGTGGAACTTGGCTTTGGCCCATTTCACTTGGAATGTTGGCCCAGCTGGTGATCTGGGTCTTCACCTGACTTTCCAAGTGTTGACACGCCACTGCAGGCAGGCAGACTTGAGACCCTATTTGAACCTACAGCCAGTTTCTTTAAATCACCCAAGTATCTTTTTGGGGTTCCTCAAATCTGGGAAACACTTCCTTGTGCCTACCCCATCCCTGGAAAGCCCACTGCAGAACCCAGAAAGCAGAGCCCGCTGTCACTTCCTGTACCCCACCCACTGCTCTCTGGTCCTGGCTGCTGAGCCCCAGAGATGGAGAAGGATGAGAGCAGCAGGAGAGCCAGAGAGAGGAAGAGAGAGAGCACCCCCAGGGCTGGGGCACGGCACACAGCTCCCTGCCCTCCCCGCTACCTCGGAGATGGAGGAGTGGCAGGAGGAGGCTTTTTGCACCATCCGCTGTGCAAAGAGCTTTTTGAGCCGCAGGTAATCCTCCAGGACCACCTTCAGCAGCGAGCCCTGGGGGAGGGAGAAGGTTAACCCCCCACCACGGTCCCCCCAGCCTCCCCACCCCTCGCTCTGGTAACTCATACAGGGGTGATGGAGGTGACGGGGCGTCTAGGAGACACAGGCCTCTAACCCTAGTGTAGAAGATCAGGAGCAGAGCCTCAGGGCTCAGGATGGCATCCTGGTCCCAAGGGCACCACGGGCTGACGCAGCTCCTGATCGGCCCCAGTGCCCAGGACCCGCTTGTTGCCCTGGTGTTCTTGCCCCAGTGGAGGCCGGGTCTAGCTGAGCCTGGCAGTGGAGAAGGCTGTTCCCCGCTCCCTGCATCCCCTGGAGCAGGTCCAAGCTTAGCTAAGGCTCCGGGGCAGGAGTGCAGGAGTCTGTGGGGAGCGCTCACCTTGATGGGCCCCTCCCGGATGATCTGGCCCAGCTTGGCAATGTTGTCGTACTCCTGGAGGGCTGCCCGCAAGTAGCGGTCTTCGTCAGGTTTCACTGCTGCTGGCTCACGTCCAAAAGTTCCCTGGGAGAGAGGATGTTAGCTGGACAGAGGTAGACAGCGAGCAGGCAGACACCCACATACAGGGCAGAGGACCACCTAGAACAGCAGTCGCCAACCTTTCAGTCCTCATGGACTGTCAGTGGTCCACGGCCCACCGGTTGGCAACCGCTGTCCTAGAAAACCCTTCTCCTGGCCAGGGCTGACGAAGACCCGCCCTTCCTCTACCCTGCCCCTGCCCCTGCCCCTGGCCCTGGCCCAGGCTCACGTGGGTGCGGGTGGGGCTGCTCCACAGGTCTGCGATCTCGCTCAGGTTCTCTGGCAGGTCGTCCTCGTGCTCGGCCTGGGCGGCCAGTTCCAGGTTCCGGCAGAAAGGATCCAGCCATACTGGGTTGGCCCTGCAGGTGGGGGCAGGGTGGGGTGAGGATGGAAGGCTTGAGAGGACAGAGGCCCTGCCCGCCTCACCCTCACCCCTTCCTGTTTCCCTGGACAACTGTAGTGTCTCAGAGCAGGGAGGGGGTGCAGGTCCCTTGCCCACAGCACCTGTGGGTGCGTCCTCCCCCTAGGATCCCACTAGAACCAGGACAGGACATGTCGATTGGATGAGCTTCGGTTTGGAAGCCTCACTGCACCCACTGACCAACTCCCCCCTCGAACTTGGGGCCCATCAGGGTTGGGGAGCCCAGCTCAGTGACACGGTTTCTGAGGGTGGAGAGAGAGGGGTGGCTGACCCACCAGGGGGCGCCCACACCCCAGGTTTTAGCTAGTCTGAGTTCCCTCGCTGGGAGGCGGCAGAGAAGCTTCCGCCCCAGCTGGGTCCTGGGCAGGCCTTCCCAGCATGCACCAGGCAGGGCTTGGGAACCCCACTCACCCGTCAAAGGAATACTTGTTGGTGTTGGGCATGTCCATGATGTCGATGAAGCCACGGTTCCCTGCAGGGAGCGGTTGGGGCATGGAGGGGAGGGAGTGCTCTGCTGGGGCTGGGGAGCCTGGCCCCGTCCAGAGCCATGTGAGTTCCCCAGGAGCCCCTCCTGACCTCTAACCTCCCGCCATCGCAGCCCTCACTCACCTGCGGAGCCAGCCACGATGGCTTTGAGTTTCCTCTTGTGTCTGGAGAGAAGCAGAGAGAGGCGCTGGTAAGGGAGGCTGGGGCTGGGCTGGCATCTCGGGACACTGCCTGCCTCCATATCGATCCCTGGAGGAGGGCGGGCTGGGCAGCCAGTCTCAGGGCAGGGCCAGGGGTCACTCACACGGTCCGGTAGTACCAGTTCATGAGGATGAAGAGCATGGCAGCCAGGAAGAGGAGGATGGCCAGGACGATGATCGCCATCTGAGGAGACGGGACAGGCGTGAGCGGGCGGGCGCAACCGGGGTGAGAAGGGGGCTGTGGGGCCGGTGCCCCCAGGGGTACCTGCAGGGCAGACATGTCTTCGGGCAGCTGGACAGAGATGGCAGGCTGCACGTCCATGACATTGTAGTTCCGGAAAAGATTCCGCAGCTGTTCCTTGTTCTCGTCGATCATCTGGATCACCCTGGGCAAGGGGCAGGGGCCTCAGCTCCCATCCTCAGCCACCCCCCAAGCGCCTGCTCACTCAGGCCAGGCTGCCCAGGTCTTGACTTGGACGTCTAAGGTTCACCCCCGCAAGCCTTGCAAGATTAAAGCCCACCCAGCTACGATCGCTTTGTATCCTCTAGAGTTCACATCCCTCACAATCAATACAATACTCCCATTGCACAGATGGGGAGAGTAAGGCTCAGGAGGGCAGAGCCCTGCTAATACCCACAAACGGTTCTCTCTGCCCACATCCTGGGGAGAGCGCCACGCAGCAGGCATGATGGTGTTGGTGATGCCTCTGTTGGGTCCCTCCCCAAGTCCAGGGCAGGGAGGCAGACGACACTCCGAGCACAGGTCCCCACTCACCGGTCCACGTCCAGGATGCGGTTGGTATCTCGGTTCACCACGTGGATGAGCAGCTCTGTCTGTGCGAAGTTCACCCGACCCTTCTTATCCACGTGGAACTAGGCAAGAAGGGGCGTTACAGGGTGTGGTAGGTGCAAGGGAGGGCTGGGATGGGCAGGCCTCTTCTAGGTGCCCCTCCTGGCCTGCCTTCCCAGCGAACCCATCACAAGCGTGATACCCATCACCTCACTGCGAGGCACTACCATTACCCCACTTCACAGGTTAGGAAACAGGCCCGGAGACCTGGGAGGCCTTTCTCAGGGCCATGCAGGTAGGAAACGATTGAGGGCACATACATCCCCTTTCACGTCTCTGGCCTCTCCACAATGCCCTGTCCCTCCCTGGGGCCTAGTCCTCTCCCTCCACCGCCCCCAGCCCCTGGGCGGGTCCCGTGGGCACCTGCACGTCATCAGTGTTGACAATGGCACCGGTGATGTTGGA